TTTCCCTGCCTTCTGGAGGTACCTATATATAACTAATTTCTGCCCAGTGCTGTTGTCTCTCTCAAGTGAAGGGGCCAGTGTAGATATTTTGGGGAAGAATTAGTTCGACAAAAGCCAATTCTTTGAAACACCTCTCAAAACTGAAGTGATACCCTGTTAAAATTGTAAGGAGAGATGATCTCTGTTTTCAATAGTACCTCAGGACTAGAGCTCAGCAAAAATAAATAAATAAACCTCTTCCCTCTCCAGTTTTTGCAACGGATTACTTTGCTTTATGTTTTTACAGTCCTTTTCATAAGGAGAAGGCTGGACATGCACTTTGGCTGCAAGTAAAAGCTGAGTTTTTCTTTTACATGGCCTGAAGGCAACTCTTCTAAGGGGGGCTTACATGAGCCCTCCTTCAGTTTATCAGTGTATTGGCTCCCTGTAGAGTTGGCTCAGCTTCCCATGACTTTGAAGATAAATGAAGTACCATGTGGCTAGCTCAGTGGGGAAGATCTTTCAGATGGAAACGCTCAAAAATGAGATCATAACATCTCTGTGTGGACATTAAAGATCTCATAGTGTTTTTTGTAGGATCAGAGCTCTGTCTCAGATTTGTGGGCCAAAATTCCTCCCCTCACTCCTATGCTCTTGAACAATGTAGTTAGCTTGTTCTCTCCTTCAGATGTGGTTTGTAAGATGCCATCTGCGGGAGTGGGGTTTAGACTTTTTGTAGCAAGAAAGATGTTTACAGATTTGCATGTGTGTTTATACATGTATTTTATTAAGTTATTTAATATTACACAATATTAAGAGGATTACTGTTTAATGTGTTGCATACCCAGATATAAGTGTAGTTATGGAAAATGCAATGATCAGCAGAATCCAACATTCATTGAATACTTTCGAATTCCTCTGTGCAAATCAGGGCCTGATTCTCAGCTGATAAACATCTGCATATGTCTGGTGATGTCACTGGCTGTGTATATAATTCATATGTGGCAGTTTTATTTACATAATATCCAGATATGATATATGTTTTCTTTCTTCAGAGAAAACCGATTAAAGTGAGATAGATAGCCTTGCTCCTTCTGAGCTGTGTGGTGTAGCGCCTGATGACTATATTTGTGGAAACTGTACACAGAAGTACACAGAAGTTCATTCACTCTTCATTGTAAAAATAGTTATGCATAAGAAATCATAATTATGTGTAAAACAGAGTTATGCTTTTCCATTAATTTCAAATGTATCTCCCTGACATCACTGCAGCACGTTGGGTCTGGTCTGTGACATGCTCAGCCTCCTGACTTGGTAGGAGCGGTTAGCCCTCGGCATCTTGCAGGAAAAGCCCGTTAAGCCCATGGTCTTATCTTTTCAAAGTGATTATTCATGAACTAACCCAATATTTTTGAATGCTCTGACTTGCAGGATGATGATGGGGAGATTTGGTAAGTAACAAAGTTGACTCTGAAATTTTTTTTTATTTATGTCAGGCACAGAAATCTTGTCTGTTTCCCTTCAGCAGATCAAGACAATGGATTGAGCAATTCTGCAGGGTTGGAGTGTATTGCGGGGGCAGGTTTTGTTACTCCAGACAGATGTGGAGCATAATGGGTAGAACCAGATCATTCAGTATACTGCTTGTGCTCCTTAGACTAGTCTCTTGATTTATTTTCATTTGTAAGTAATGAATAGCAAAAATGCTGCACAGAGCAATATTTCCTAGTACTGTTGTTAGTGGCTTTCAAGTAAAAATCTTTGCAATCCCCAGCAATAAGAGTTACACCTTCTTCATAATGTGACCATTTAATTTATATATAAATGAATACATGAAAATTACTGAATCAAGTGTATGGTACGAGGTTTAAGAAAGCCCTGTTTACCTGTCCACTTTCAGCGACCAGTCAGCCTTCTCTAATACGTTTGCATGGAGTATCTTATCTCCTCCATGGTCACTATATTTTAGAATTTAGACCTTACCAAGTGTAGATCTGGTCTTCTAAACAAAAAACAATTTTTTTCGTGTTGCTGCCGAGAGACTTCTCTTTTTGCATTTAGATTTGTTAGTGACATTAAGTCACCACTTCTCACCGAAGAGATGTGTGCTCCTGTAAAGGATTGTGTGTGATGCAAAACAAGTCATTTAGTTTCTCTATTCCCCAGTTATAATACGTGAACACTACCACACTACCATTTCCCCTCTTGCAGAGTATCTACATTAATAATCAATAAGGTACTTGGAGAATAAGTAATGTCAGGGGGCTATAGGGGCTAAATAACATATCTTCAGATTTTAACAGCTTAAAACACGCACACTTTTCCAGCATTTTTTTTCTTTTTAAATGCAACTGCAATTGGTTAGATTTCTAATTTTTTCTTGTTTTACCTGATGATGAAAGTTGTCATCCAAAAAACTCAGTGCTTGGAAAATTTCAGTCAGCCCAAAGCTGCCACAATGTGAAATGTTGCACTAATATAGTCAATTTAGTAGATTTTAGATTGGATTAGATATTGTTATACAATACTTTGAAGGTCTAAACATAATTTAAATCTTCATACTGTTTGTAAGCTTTGCTCTTCATACACTGCTGAATCAGATTTCGTTCGTGTTCAGTTTTAAGCTTTACTGAAATCAAGGGTACTACCAGTAACTTTAAATTAACCAAATTAATATCCGATTTTGACACTGAGCAGTGGATATGCAACCATAGCTGTCACTGTAGCTGTAGTGCACCAAAACCAGGTGATGTTTCAGTGGCTCATTGTTTAAGTTAGGGTTGGGGCATAGTCAAAATTTGTGTTTTATTTTCATTTTTTCGTCCACTTACATATTTTGTGTACCAACTACGAATGGCAGAAAAGGTAAATCAGTGAATAATACGTTTGTTTTCAGTTACCTCTAAAATGCCCAGGGGAGTTCACTCTGGCATTTAGTTAGACACCAAAATAGGGTGATAACTTTTAGCTTGAGTGTCTCTAACATGGCTTTCTGAGAAAGACCTTTAAGCTTGGGACACATAGCCTGCTTCCCATACTTGGCTGTTGGAGGTGTATTGATTTTTTTTTTTTTTTTCCCCCCTAAAACCAGAGCGCGATGCCTTTGACACACTTTTTGATCATGCACCAGACAAACTCAGTGTAGTCAAAAAGGTAAGAAATAAAATTCAAGTTTTATTTTTTACATTGCTTTTTTTCTTATGCTTTTGGAAAGATATCCAGAAAGATCTGGAAAATAGCAGAAGAGGATTCTGAAATAGTGAGAAGGGTGTTTATCCCCCAAAGATCAAAGCCAAGTGATACCTGGATTCTTTGGCTTCGGTGAGGCTTGTCTCATTACTCTGGTTTATTGGCCAAGGCTTTTCTAGGTAGCGCTGCTAGATTCAATCAAAATGATACAGGTTAGAAAAAGCTACTCTGCAAAGTGTTCGCAGTGGGACAGATCATTCTGACTGGACAGTTGTACATGCTTTTATATCCCAGGTGCTGTCCTCCAGCGAGGAGGGGCTGGGCTGTAGGCTAGTGAGTGGCTGTCAATGGTGACCCCTTCACTAGGCTCAACAGCAGCCAGAGTCGTGCATGTGTCTTCAGCCTCAGTCTCCCCAAGAAGCACTTGCTGTTTGGTTTTCAGCTTGTTTTTATACTAAAGATGATCTTCCACAACCGGAAGATATTTTCCATAGTACCCTGAAATGTGATTCACCCATAAATGGGTTTGCTAAAAATAAAGCTTTTGCAGAAAAGTTGCTTTTGTCCCAGGGCTCTCCTACTTAACACTAATTCATGTGGTCCTCTCCTCCCAGGCTGAGCATCATCGCGAAGCACACGTAGCCAGACATATTCTTGACATGGCTCTTTGTGCTAGGCAGAGTGGAGGGGTACAGTAGCTGCTGATCTCTGCCAGCTCTTGTTAGTTGTAGAGAACACATGGAAGAGACTCCATGTTGTTCCATCAGCTATTTCCAACATGGCTGTTAAGCTATTTATTAGAACAGTAGTATGCAAAGATCAGTCTTTTAATTTGTCCCTTCGTATGAAACAGAGGATGTACGCATTTAAAATAATGCTTTGAAGTCTCTGAAAGATTTTATCTTCCCAGTCTGAAATGTATTCTAGAAGAGTGTTATCAAAGTTGATAGAGAATCAAGTTAACTCTATCAGTGCAATAAAAGTGTTGACACCCTGTGTCCCTTTTGGAAGTGGTGTAAGCAGGCTGGCAGATCTCTGTGCTTCAATACATTAGCACGTATCTGGCTCATAGTAGCAGGATCTCACATGTCTGCTTCCTGTGGGAATAGAAATACCAAACTTGGGTTACATCCTGACTGTAATTTTCTAATTGATATGCACACATCACTCCAGGAACAGAGGTGTGTGTGGAACAGTGCACTGTTGGCATCTTCTCCTGGGAGTCTTAAATCAGTGCTGCTGATGCCTTGCTCCCAGGCAGTGGATCTTCTCCAAGAACCTGAAGAGATTAGTTTGGACAGTAAATGCACCTACTGCTTGCTTCATCTTCACAAAGAACCTACAAAAGAACCAGTGTCATCACAGCTTTTTCCCGTGACACTAAAGTATGCTTTATGTGCTAGGAAAAATAACTAGTGAGCTGTATGTAATAGCACCATCTGGTGACTTCTGGCAGATGGTGCAACAAAAATGACTATACGACTGAGTTGTTTTCAGTTTTATGTACTTATTTATGCAACAGCAAATAGCACACATGCATATTTATTATGCTTAAAAAATGTCTTAAAAGATACGTTAACCCTTTCACATAGGCACTGAGTGTAGTGTCTAATATCACTGGTTCTGGTGTTTTCTTTTATAGTCTCTGATCACCTTTGTGAACAAACACTTGAATAAACTGAATTTGGAAGTAACGGAGTTAGAAACCCAGGTAGGATACTTTGTCTTTTTGTATGTAATCTAACTGTAAATTGCAAATCTAGGCCCTCGCTCCATAAAACCTTGTTGTGGAACTGTTTATCTTTGGGCATGTTAATTTATGGGATCAGGGCTCTGTCTTTTAAGTAGGAATGACATTCACTGATGGTTGCTTCCTTTACTGATGTTTACACATACTTCATATTGCTGTTAATTTGTATTATAAGGTGAAACTCTTGGGTATTTAATAGCGTCATATTAATGACTGTAGAATATGGATGGCTGGATTTCAGGGCAGCTTTTCTTTCGGATCAGAAAGTGGAGTGCTGCAAAGCAGTTGCTGTAGTTATGGGTGGATGGTGGGTTGTGTCTTTTCTAGCTGTGAGGGTTCATGATGAACAGGTATAAGCTCGGGGCTCTCGGGATGTGTGGACTGCAGTGTGCAGTTCATCCTAGAGATATCACTTTGATCACATCAAAGTGGGACTGGAAACAATTTTGCTGCTGCAGCAAAGGCCTTCATATGCTCCTCTTTACCTTGCTATCTTGTGAGCACATGCACTGTGCTTGCTTCTCAGCAGTGTGGATTAATGACTTGGAGCTCCTGCACTGCAGTAGCTTGACTGCTAGTGGTATCCAGGTTAGTTTGTTTAAAGCTAGTGGAGGTGACAACCACCACTGTCTGCTCTGAGGAGTTCTCTCTCTCTAGCACAGAACTGGGTACCGAGTATGCTTGGAAAGCTTAAGTGTGAATTTCAATGTCAGCAGGGTAGTTCTCACTTTACAGATAAAATTAAGGAAATTTCAGGCATGGGCTTGGCTAAGCAGGGGCAGATATTCTTTCTAGAGTTCACTGAACTGTGAAGAGACGGTTATCTTATTGTCCTGGCAAAAAAAATAAGCACAGCATCTAGAGAATTATACCAGGAGTATAGGTAATTGGTTTAAGCCTGGCTTAGTTTAATACCAGTCATTCACTGTTATTTTATAGCTTTGCTGAAATAAATAGGTGGCTGTATATGGTCTATCACAAGAAATTGTTGCTTCATGCTGCGGAAGTACCAACAATTTATTTTTGAAAAGGTTAGAGGATGTCACATATGCTATATCAGGATCACAGGTGAGAAGTCTGTTAGAAATACATAACATTACCCACCTTAACCAGTAAGTAGTCATCCTGTCTGGTAGGAATACTGAATAGTATTGCTGACAGTATTTAGTATATTATTTAGTATTTACTGAAACTGTAAACAATCTATTTTGACTTGGAAAAATTACTTCTTTTGTGAAGTTAAACTTCCTGCCTGTGACAGGGGAGACTTAATTTCAAGTTCTGATTAAGGGCAGAGATTTGAATGTCCAACACACATGACTTAACAGGGATTGTGGTTGAAACTGCTAGGTACTGTAGTAGTAGGACTGGGAGTATATAATGTGCAAACATGTTTCCCAGGAAGTCTTTTTTTTTTTAAATTGAAAAAGCTTTGTTAAATACTGTAGTGAAGTTGGCAAGATTCCTCAAGCAAATAAAATGAACGTGAAGAAAAGCAAGAACAGACATACATACTCTAACCTCACCCCGAAGTATTCAGTAGCCTAGTAAGTAGGTAACTGGCTGGAGATAAAGATCTTGTTTTCAGACCCTGCCTATTCAGACCAAATACTCTGCACAACTAAGGAGTACAAATTGTAGATAACTCGCAGGTGAATTGCTTTTAATTTCTTCTGCTTAGAGCTATTTACTGTATGTAAGTAATTTAAATAGTCATTGGCACATGATCTTGCACAGGTTAATGCTATATCAATAGCTGATGGGCTTCCTTGTTTTGCTCAGGAAATGAGAGTGGGGGAAATAATGCTACCAGATGTAGGGAGAAAGCCTTGTATCCTGTGGTTTCTTTCTTTCCTTTAGAGAACTGACAAGAAAGCAGCTATATCAACAGTCTCTTAAGAAAAGACTGATTTAGCCTGCTCAGCTGCACTGGCGATAGCAAAGGTACAGGTGAATCCAGGGAGCAGATGAAACAAAGCCCTAAATGCTTGTTACACTTGCTGTCAATTCCTTGCTATGCCTGAAAGAAGCAGTCTCTGACTCCTGAGTGGTAGAAATCCAAGTACATAATTTGGGCCCAGCATACTTTGTTCTGCTTGTTTATGAATGCTTATTTGAAAACAGATGCTTTCACCTAGGAATGTCATCAGCATTTCTATTTAGTTTGCAGATGGTGTTTACCTGGTTTTGCTCATGGGTCTCCTTGAAGACTATTTTGTTCCACTTCACAACTTCTACTTAACACCTGAAAGTTTTGATCAAAAGGTGGGTAGAAACTCCAGGTTATATACTTTTTGCTTTGTTACCACGTGGTATTTTTCAGTCGTTGTGTCCTTTCTCTTTGTGCCCAGTAAATCAGAACCTGGTATATTCTTCTCTTCAGGAGCTGTAGCAAAGATGCACTGGCTGTGACAGCACCTGTTCAGTTATGATTTTGTTGTTTAATGGTTTAAATTCATAAAGATTATCCAGTATTCCTGAAGTAATGTTGTGGTTTTGTGTGGAGACTCTGCCTTGAGGAAAGGGGATTTGTAAGTCAAAGGAGGAGAGGTAGACTCTGTGTTTTTGGGAAAGTAAAAAAAATATTTTCATCTTGAAAGTGATTGGTTTTGTTGCAATGAATGAGGAGGAGCTGTAGCAGGTAAAAAGAGATTAATAAAATCCTGACCAATAAGCGCCAGTGAAAGGGGTCTTTCTTCCTTGTTGAAGGGGAGCTTTGTATGCAACTCCCTGATTTTCAAGATGAGTAGCTTTAATTAAATCTCTTCCCCTTGCTGTGTATCTCCAGAGCTGTCATTTGCAGTAACAAAAATGCACAGAATTCATAATCCATATTACCTTGCTTAAATTTCGGTAAGTGTGGACAAGAAAGCTGCTATGCAGATCTGTCTAAACCATAATGTTAACTTCTCAAAGGAGAGAATAAAAGAAGAAACCCACTTTCTTGCATTTTTCCTTTTTGTCCATTTTCTTTCCTCTGACTTTATGTTCATGTATAATCCTTGGTGGTTTGTTCAGAAAGCTCTTTCTGTATAGTTGTGCCTAACTTGTGGGTTTTTTTTGTTCGCTGCACAGTCTGTCTAGGATCTGCCACCACAAAGCATTTTTTGAAGTATTTGCTTCATTAGAGAAACTTAATTTGACTTTTATCTCTGTTTTCAAGTAGAGGAGGCCAAAGCACCAAGAGACTAAGGGATTAGAACAAGGTCATGCAACAAGCAGCCTGGCTCCTTGATGATGCAATGTTGATGTTGCTTGATATGCAGTTGATAATAATGCAGAAAAGACTAATGTTGTTTGAAACTAATTCCATTTAGTGTCCTTATTTCTTCTTTCTTACACACCCATATGTACTTTCTCATCTCTGTTCAGTTATGCCACTTCTGTTACATTCCTTGTTGCCTGGATGGTGAGTGATGTCTTGCCTTGTAGTTGGAAATGTTGATCTTGGGTACAGGCAGGAAGAATTCAAGAAAATGCATCTCTGTTGTAGTTGTTACTGGGAGCTCTCTGGCCTCTGCCATAGAGACTGAGATCGGGGTTTAATGGAGTTTCCTGGTTCATGTGGTACTCGGTCACATTTTTACACTTGAAATTTGGAAATATTAAATTACTTTGTATCAAAAAGTGAATATTTGCCCTATAATGATACAAGCTTTCATTTCTTATTCCCTCATATGTACTTTCTGCCATGCTTAAGTATGTAAATGTTTACTATTGATTTAAATAGAATTATCATTCTCTGTGTCAAGTACAGAGAGACTAAAGCATTCTTAAATTTTATTAAAGTTCTTTTAATGCATGTATAACTTTGAGATTCTAAACGCTTTACCTCTTTCAGGTCCATAATGTTTCCTTTGCTTTTGAGCTGATGCAAGATGGAGGACTGAAGAAACCAAAAGCTCGTCCTGAAGGTATGGACATGCCGTGTGGCTTTAAGCTGTATATAAAGACATAATAGCAGGTGCATTTCAGGTGCAACTCCATTCAAAGACAGTAGCAGTAGTACCAAAAAGTGGAGCTGTAAATGCGCCCCTTGACAGTTTTCCAAAGAATTCATTGTCAGTGTCTGGGGTATATCCTTACCTGTGTTTCTTGTCTGGAATAGATTCACTGAGATGTACAAGTCTAGCTTTAGTGAATGATCCAAGAGCTGTTCAGTGCTGTATTATAAATTCAGCTGATATTCTCAATAACAATCCAAGCAGGAAGCTTTTCATGGTCTAATTCTCATAATTCTTGCAGTTAGCACTAGTTTGGACTCTTGTGATCAGATCTCGGTGACAGATAACTGAAAGGCTTTTGATTTTTTTTAGGAGAACTGGTAACAAACTCTCTTCTTGATTTATGTGGACTTGGGAGTCAGAACTGAAAAGTGCTAAAAAAAAATTAGTTTTTCCTTTAAAGTCTCTGAACCTTGAAATTAATTAATGATGAGGTCTGCATTGTTGCTTGCGCTAGGGATAAAAAGAGGCACTAAAACTTTGACTGCTAAACGAGCAATTTTTATTCCCGATGTTACAAACTACATATGTGTTAGAGGCTTCCGCAGAAGAAAGAGAAAAATGAGGAGCTCCCAAGAAGTGTTCTGTCTGACTTAAAATGAGACCAAGTGGTGATAGTAAATAGACTAACAAATAGTGGAGTTGGCTATAGTGGGGAAAAAAAGGCAAAAGACAATATCAAATGCATATGTATCCTGTCAGTGCTGTTCTTTTAAATTTGGGGATGAAAAACGCTCCTGAAGAATTCAGTGAAACAAGACGCTGACTTGGGAAAGTAGAGGAGTGTTCTGAGTATTGGAGCTGAGTCAGTGGGTATATGAGGAGGACAAGGAAACTGGAGAAATATGAATGCACAATCGGGAATGGCAGGTTTTTGAGTGGAAGCGTTAAAGAGATTGCAGTAGGAGACCAGGTAAGCTAGATAAGCCTGTTTCAAGAGAGGAAATCTTAAAACCTGGGAGAAGACTTTTCTCTAGTTGAAAGCTTATCCTTTTTCTTTTGTTTTGTTTTCATCGGTTGATCTAACAGAGGAGATTGCCTTCCCATAAGGCTATCTTATATCCCTACACTGTCATGACTGGTAGAACACTATAGCAGCTCTTTTGTTTGCTCCAGACAAGGTGTGTAGATTCAGTAAGCAGCAGAATATGTTTAAGTGGTCTGCTGATTGAAAATTTAATTATTAATAGAAGTTAGAGAGCCAAATTAGCTCATAGGACAATTCCTTTTTGCTGCTGCAGGATGTACAGTCTCTTGCGTGTATTCCTTCCTCTTCTGTGTGTGTACCCATTCCCGGCAGCAGTAGTTCACAGCTATAGGAGTGAGTGTGCTCACGTGGTGTCTGTGTGGCTGCAATTGCCTGTAAAACTGATGCTCTTGAAAAGCTGCTCCTGTGAAGGGGACGGTAACATCTTCTCACCGTAGTTTCACTGAATCCTCTGTAGGATCTTGACAGTCGATACAGTCATTTAATACGTGTTTCTTAGAACAAGAATTCATTTTGTCATAGACTCTGATGCTCTGCAAAAAGTTTTCTGTATAGTATACTCTGTTAATACCATGCTGATCTATTGTTCATTCCCATATAGGCTAGAAAACCTGTTAGGTGAATCCATGTCCTTTAGCGTGAATTGGGTAGTAAATGCCTCTTGAATTAGTCGTAGGATTTTCACGTAGAATGTTGTCTAGAGCAGAACATCACAATTTTTATTTCTATAGCCTGTGCTTTCTGCGGTTCTTGCAGGAAATAGGTCTTGTTTAATATTTTAGTGTGTCTTTGTACAGGTGATAAACAAAAATAGGAGCATACAGGACAGCTCCTCTTCTCTGTTCTTCCAGCCCAATTCAGTAGATTGAGCCAGCAGCAGAAATTGATGCGGAGTTCTTGCAGCAAAAGTATCATGTAGTGGATTAATTAATTAGCCTCTAACAGGGTTGTTATGGAGTGTGAAAGTTTTAAATTAATGGAATATTTTAAACTATTTCGATGGTTTATGGCCACTTTCAGTTAGCATTTTATTAGTTGTTGTTGGTAATGTAATGACTGCGCATGCGTCATCTTAAAATAAGAAATGGGAGGCTGAGAATATGCTTATCCCTGGGAATGCCTGTTAGACGCTAATCAATAAGGAACACTGTAATCGCCCACACAGGGAGGATGCATCTCACACTACTGTACTCTTTAAAGAAGGAAACAAAGGCATAACAAGGTCTGAAAGTAAGGAAAATGTCAAACTAGAATTACAGTATAACTTTTGCAACTGTGAAGATAATTAACAATCAGTCTGAATTGTCAAGGGATGGAGGTGGAATTTCCACCACTGGAAGATTTAAAAAGAAAAAAGAAAACAAAAAAACACGCACTGTTAAGCTTATTTTTTTTAATTGAACCACAGCTTGGGCAGTAAGCTCAATACAGGATTTCCAAGGTAAAGTTGTGTGTTGTACATGAGATCAGACTACATGACCACAATAGTTTCTTATGACCCTAAATTTACATGCCGTTACACTGCCAAATAAAAGAGCTGGATCCATTCCTTCTTTTAGTGATGGGGCCTCCCATACCTCTCATTCCTCAGGGTAATCACTCGGGGTGATCAGCAGCAGGTACCCAGCTCAGATTGCTGTTGGAGATTGGTAGGAGTCAGCCTTAAATGCCTCCATGAGGGCAGATGGACGGTGCCTGCCCAGCCCGGTGCTGCAGATCTGAACCCCCTTCCAGCTCCTGCTTGTGCTCTTTCTGGTGCCCTTAGCTCTGGCTCTGGCACTTCGTTGCCTCTTACTGGCAGCTGCTCTCTCCTTGGGACGTGCCCTAGTTTCCTAACTGTCCTTCTAGCTTCCAGCAATGTTTCTGCTCTACCCTCTAGATTTCTGTCTCTCTCCACTGGCACCTTGATCTTGGTTTATAGCATAGGCAGTTCCTGCCTCTGAACTGATGTCAGCCAGAGGCCGGAACTGAACCCTGCAAGACTTGATCGCACTGCTTCACGCCGTGGCAGCTGAGATGGAGGTTACAGTGGCTCAGGAAGAAGACCCATCTTGCTTTCAGTGGAAGGCTGAAGATGGGTGGCATGGGGAGAAGAAAACCATTTGGGCGGAATGGGGCAAATACACTAAAAATCTCTGACCACTACAGAGCTGACTGTTTGGGCCAGTTTTTTTGGCATTTTCATAGTGCCAGCACTATTTTGTTTAATTGTTTAGCAAGCAAAATTGGCTGCCAGCATCAGTGGGTCAAATCTGCTGGTAGTTGTCTCTTCTGCAGTTATTTGCCTTAATTTCCCAGCTTTAGAAATGCATGGCTGTTTCAAAGTGTTGTTTCCTATGGCTAAATTTACATTTTAAATCCATCTCTGAGGGAACTGGGTCTTGGTGCAGAGGAACCAATGCTGGTTCTGGGTGTTACCTTACTGAGAATGCTATGGTAGTAAGCAACTTTCTGTAATACCTGGAAAACTTAAACATATTTCAGTTATCCAGGTAAGACATCTCTTTTTTCAGGGTGCATTACTTCACAGAAGCTAGGACCTTTCCTTTCTTTGGGGCAGCAGAAGATTCTTTTGCAAATGAAAAATACAAAACCGTAATTGAAATATGTAAAATAACACACGAAAGAGGTAGAAAGAAAAGTTTGAGAGGTTACTGAAAATACCAGATGAAGTGTGGGGGTTAGAGTGTTATCGAGTATGGGGTGGGAGGGAAGGGTGGAGAGGTCCTGGCAATGATTCTTCAAAGCAGGCAGTAGGTGTTTCCCCTGGACCTCACATTAATTGTACTCAGTCTGTTCACTGTTTGCTGCCTTACTAGTTCTTTGAATGATTTTTTTTAATTATCTGGTCTTCCTTACTTCTGCTTCCATATATGTTGTTTACTGTGTATTTTTTACTTCCTCCTTCTCCTTTCTTAAGTATTGTATCGAACCTTTCTTTCCATCTCTTCAGCCTTCTGCGCTGTGCCTCCCCCCCATAGATCCTGGATTACATCTGTGGTATTTCCTGGCATTTTATTATAGTAGGAGGTTGGGATGTGCTACCAGAAAAGCTTTTTGTTGAGAACTGTTCCAGACCTGTTCCCTGGCCTAGCATGGTGAGAAGGGATATTAGATAACAGAAAACTTTGAGTCTGCTAAGAGAATTCAGGCTTTATTTATTCATGGACTGTATCATTGCAGAGTTGTGGATGTATGAGGTTCAGTATCAGTATATGATGTGCGTGGCTACTTGTTTGCTGCTTCTGTGGCCAGTGAAGTCATTGGTAGTATTTCCCAAAGCCTTTATCCCAGGTCTCAGACAGAAGTAGACTTTCTCTGTAACCAGTTGTAGATGAGGAAGGGAATTATATTTCTTCCATTTCCCAGAGAAGTTAGCTGTGGCTGTATTATTGTGAAGGTGTTTTGAAGTGCATCATGTGGGACGTTTAAAAAGCTTGACTTGAGGAGATCTGTTTTTTGTTGCTAATCCCCCTGGCTCAGAGATGTGGGGACTTTTGTTCCTTTGAGGACAAACGAGGGACAACAAAAAGCAAATTAAGGATTTCTCCTTTTCTTCCACAGATGTTGTCAACTTGGATCTGAAGTCTACGCTCAGGGTTCTGTACAACCTGTTCACAAAGTACAAGAACGTTGAATGATCTTGGAAGCTGCTGAGGTCTTCATCCTTCCAACCTCCTTAGGCAGAAATTACAATAAACACACCCTCTGCACGCTCCCTTTGTGCCTTATGCTATACTTCATGCATTCTTTCTACAGTTGATGTGGTCTCTCTGTAGCTGTTTGTATGAAAATCCCACTGAAAATAATGCATGTGTATTCTCTAGTCACTTGAAAATGTGTAGATATTTCACACTTTTACCAGAACATACTGTTGAGTCTGTTGTTTGTTATCATCAATAAGTGTTCTTTTGATAAAGGAAATATACCACTAACTAATAAGCAGGGAAAACATGAGACCTTCTTCATGGCTGGAGACTCCTTGATTCTATAATAGACTTTCTTTTGCGTATACCTTGGTTGCCACTGGCATTTCATGATTTACCAGAGGCTTACATGTTAGCAATAGGAAATCAGCATTGGAATTTATTTAGAAGCTGAGCCTTTTCTGTTAAATAAGGTTTTTTACATTCTACTGGGTGGGTGAGACCGAGGGGAATTACAGGCACTACCTGAAGCTAATGGCAAAAGCTTCAGTTTTTGTGTTAACCTCATGCTACTCAGTGTTATTTCCATTCAGTGTTTACACAGAACAAGTCTTGCAATGGGATGACCAGCTAATCTTTTGATGTCTATTTTTTATTTCATCTCCTTTCTAGGATAAATTTGGTTGCTAGAGCCACTGTCATCCGTTAAGCATGCATCTTCAATCAGGTCAGTCAGGAGCTGGTCAAATAGGTGCAGGATGGATTAATGCATTTTGCCTCCAGTCCTTTCTGAAAATACATGGGGAATAACAAGCTTGGTAGTTTAAAGGCTGACTCTTCATTTCACGTAGCTGAGTTAAAGGGTCAGATTCGTTCCTGTTGGAGTTACTGGCAGCTATGCAGTTCTGGGGGTCAGACTTTTACAAACAGAGTTTTATGTATTTTCTTTCCTAATGAGTAAAACTGAATTCCTGTATAAATAAGAGCTTGCCTTTACTTGTGGATTGTGCTGGGCTATGCAAGACATGGTATACATAGTGCAAGCCAATGGTTAGCACTCAAATGTGAAGCTCTTCAGTGATCAGTTATGCTTTAAACTAATTTCATCGAGTTGTCCTGTGGCATCCCCAGAAATACTCTGCTAGGCTCTGGCCTAGTCCTGTAGTCTTTTAAGCTGTTAAGGATTTTAGTGGGAATCTGTTTTTAAAAAAAGAAAATTGCTAGATTTATCTGGTAGAGTCTAGTTACCTTGTAGTACTTAACAGGTTTTGTCTGTGGAGCTGTTGCTGGCTGGTGATGCGCAGGTGTAGCAGTGTGTACAAGGAGGCTGTGCTGGAACATGAGCCGTAGATTTTTGAGGTGAGCTGTGCAAAGGAAATGGGAATGTAATTTGCAGAGTAAATTATTTGTGGAATATGCATATAATATCACTCCTTTCCTTGGAGTGCATAGGGGAGAGATTTGACTACTGCTTTTACGTATCACAGCAGCAGCTTTTCTTTTATGGGCAGCCATGATTTTGTGCAAAACATTAGGCTGAGTGCCCCAAAGAGGAAGCAGGTGGCATTGCTCTGCTCCATGGGCTCGCTTGAGTCCTGTTGTAAGTAGGCATCTTTTTTCCCTTAAAGTGGATTTCTTATGCCAAACTTTATTTACCTTTCTGAGTTCAAGAGGACACTTGCTATTTGAATGGTATAATTTTACAATTGGGATTTTCTCCTTCCTTCACTAAACATTTTTTTTCATCTCAGAGGGAAAGAAATGGATTTCTGCTTCTTTGTTTCATATTTTTGGGTTCTGAGTTCTAGTATTTGATTTATTTGGGTCACCTTCTCTCATACCTCCAAAACAAAGATGGAAGGAAATTGACCTTTCTTTCCATTAAAAATTCAGATCTCATCTACCCTCTGAGGTTCTGTGGGGAGCCATTGCTTGTCTGTACTTTAGGAGGGAGCTGACCTCTCGCTGTTTATACAGAGCCTAGTACAATTGGACTTGAATTTCAGATGGGGCCACTAGACTCTACCATGACGCTAGCAATTATTACAGAGGAGACTTGCAGAGGCACTAAGGCCTGGTGGGTCAGCTCTCCCGGCAAGTTAATGAAATTGGTCTAACTTTCGTGCTGTGAAATAGGGGTATCATGAGGCTGGAAGGTGATTGAACTGAAAGGTCTCTCAAACTTTTAGTTTAATGCAGTGTTATTTGTGGGAAACAAGTCTGTTAAAGAGCTGTCATTCCACCCACCTCCCTTCAGCTGATGTGGAAGTGCCAATGCTGTTTATATTCTCTGAGATGCTGGGAAAGACCTCTGGAGAAATCTAGTTTTTGAAATGGCAAGCAATATTAATATTAAAAGCAAACAAAGTAACAAGAGGAGATTGATAAGAGCAGTTTGGGTTTGGGAGGGGGGATGGCTGTTTCTGAGATGGGGATTTGCAGCTGGCATCATCATTGCATGTGAGCAGATGTGAACATACCACCAAGTTTTGAGACTGTCTCTGTTTTGTTCAGTTAGGTGTTTCTGGTCACTCTGCAGAAACCTGAGTCCCTCCTCTACAACCTGAGGCAGAGGTCCCTTTTAGCATTCCTTTGATTAATATCCCTGTCAGTCAAGACTAGGGGCTTGATGCCCTGGACAGACTGTGGGCAGGTGTCATACCCTGTTTTGTGATGTTTTTAAGTCTGTTGGTAAATGTTGCATAGGGAAAATACTTTTTTTTTTTTTTTTTTTTTTTTTTTTTTTCCCTTTCCCCCTTTTCTACC